GGACTCAACCAGGCATGGTAGATTTCTTTTTCCGAAAGCCAAAATACTACTTTTTGCCTCTCAAGCAACGTTCTGTCTCTGCATCACATGGGAGGCCTCGTCCTCTGTTCTCTCTTGGGGCTCCTTGTGGGCTTTCTGGCTAGTTCCAGAGGCTTTATCATTGCACCCTTCTACAGGAACTCTTGGCAGGGTCAAGAGTAGGCCCTTAGCGCCTAGCCACCGTCCTGCAATTTCCATCTGTCTTTAAAATTTCCATCTGGCTTGGAAAACTACAGAGAAATAAAAAAGAAAAACTCTCTCACTTGATTCTATTGCTTTCAGCCTATTTTTTTCATTTCTCTTTTAATCACTGTTAACTTGTTGAAGCGGATGGTTTTCCCTCTGTTTCTCTATTTGTGCAGCATGTGTTCTCTTCTTAAATGCCTGTGATGTGGTTTCACTGCATGTTTGTATTAAAACCACTCTGGTGAATGTCATCAATGACTCATAACCACCAAATCCAACAGTTTCTTTTCAATCCTTATTCTTCCTTCTTCATCAACATGTTAGTTATTGTTGCTCACCCTCTGCTGGTTGATATTCTTCTCATTTAGCTATGGTGATACTTGATGACCATCGACCTCTAGTAATTTCTCCATTTTTTGCAGGTTCCTTAGTCCTCTTTTCCTTATACTTATGGATAGTCTCCTCCTATCATGTGATGTTTTCTCACTTTCTATGTGGAATACATAGAAAACTATCTAAACAATTCCTCTAAAAATAATTATCCATAAAATATTAGGTTCTTATCCTATTTTCCTATTTCTATAAATGGAAAGAATGCATAGGATCTTTTATTTTTTCTAGTGCAGAAGTCAAATCTGTGGCAATGCATAACCACACAATGAATGTCAAAAATGACCAAGTAGAAAGTAACACTTTTGAACAACAACAACAAAACTAAATTACTCATAAAAAGGATCAACATTCCAAAACAGCAACTCATATTCTGGAAAGAGATTTAGAGTTAATGTAGATTATTCTTTGATCACATTGAGTCATTAAATTGTAAGCTCCTAGGGGCACAGACTGTATCTTATTCATCTTTCATCATCCATAGTGATTGGCACAGAATTTTACACATAATATGATCTCCATCAATGTCTGCTAAATTGAATGCGAGGCTTCTGGCAACAATTGCGAAAAAAAAAATACAGGATGAAATATGACAACAACATTTTTTTTTTACTTACCCTCATTACAAATCTAAGATTTTTTTAAAGTATTTTGTGTGCAATTCATACGCTGTAGTTGATGAAATACTATATATAAAAGAGGGATGTCAAGTATTGAGGAGATAGTTGACAACAGTTCACAAAAGACTCTGACTGTTTTTCCTTCTTAGCTCACAGTGCTAGACAGCCCACCCTCCCAGTGCTAACATAGGAGTCAACAAGTGGTAGCATTCCAATAGACCCATATGGCTATATCTTCCTCCTTTGTTTTGGGAAAAGGGCAAGAGATGGGTATTATTATCAGAGAGAGAACAGAGAGATTGGAGATGATGAACTGACGCTTGGTCACTCCTCATTTAAAGGGGAGAGAAAGAAGCATTTCATCTGCTCCTTCCACCAAAGTCAGGAACTCCGAATCATGTATAAGACGTGATGGTGACTCTAAAACATGGCACGTTTGTGCTAGTGATTTACACAACTGCTTTATTTTATCTTGCCAACCCAAAATTTAAATGTCCTAATGTTTTCAGTGGGCGTGAAAGGGGCCTTGAAAGGTTTCTGAGATCATCAAATCCAATAGAAGATCAGAACAAGAGGAGAGAGAAGCACTCATACCTGCCTCACTGTAGCTTCCCGTTGATCAAAGGGGCCAGTAAGTATCACAGGTAGGGCCTGAGGGGAAGTAGCTTCTGATGATTTACTGTGCCTTAGAGTCAGGGCAGAGAGAACAACTGTCTGAGAGCTGCATTACTGTACAAAGAAAATATGAAGGCAGAAATCCACAATGCCCAGTACCCAGACAGAGCAAACAGACCTCACAGTTAGCCACAGCTCTGTCTGATACCAATTTCAGATATATATCTCTTGCTTCAGAAGAAGACTGAGCAAAGATTCACAGGAAAGGGATTGCCCATTCTTGGGATCTCCATACTTGGCTTCCTTCTCTGTAACAGGCACTTCCCAGTTCTAGACTCCATGAATCCTCCAAGAGAGGGAAAGAGAGAGAGGCTGTCCCTCCCTACCAAGCCTTCCACTAGTGGCCCTTCTGCAGATACAAGGAAGATATACGGTTGGAGGATAATAACATTTGAATTTGATTGAATATTTATTTCAAATGACCTTGAGATTTTAAAATAGATTAGTCTAAAATCACCAGACAATGCTGAACACATTGAAAGGAAGTGAGGTATATTGTTTGGCAATATTAATTCTCGCCCCTTCCCCATTACTAACTCCTAAGGGGTGAGTGCTCAGTAAAGCTGATAGTAGTTATTAAGATAGAACAATTCCATGTGCATAGATTGCTGAACTGAGACTATTAATTGAATCTACTACATATGTAACAGAATTAGAGAATGTTTCAGGCAGAATAAATATTCTGGGTCATTAAAATTTCTATATAAGAAGAGTAAAAAGATGAGAGCTATTTGACTGGGAGTGAATATATAGGCTGAAATGGATTTATTCCTTAAATCCTGATTATCACAAAAGTAGAGGACATCTCTTAAGGTTAAAAAAGTCTTTTGGGAAGAAAGGGAAATTTTTTACTTCAAGAACATGTAGAATTTGACTATTTAATTCATAAATCATAAAAAATCAGCATTAGTTAAATTAATGGACAGCACATCCAAAGTGGATTAATAAATGAAAGTAATATGTTTAGAGGATTAACTTATCCTTTAAACATTGATACAAATTATCACTTGATTTCACTGTGAAAGAAAAATAATAGATTATATGGATTATGGGTACAGTCCAGCATGGTAGTTTTTTCCTCCTTAACAAATAGCCTAACCTCTATTCACACTCTTAATAAAGCTTTATGCTTTCTTCCTTGAATGGAGTGAACCCAAATGATGCTTTGGGTTACAATATTTCTGAATGAGGAATAACCCCATATATGTCAGTATAATTGCATAAATCAGGTTCGGACTTCTGTTATGGAAAACCACTGTCATACACCAACTTCACTCTGTGCCAAATCTATGATAGTGTTGTCTCAAAAATATATTAATATCATAGGAAACAAAATATCAGAAAAAATTCAGTATGTTAAGACAACTGTCTAACTAATGAAATATAATTGGTTTGATGCAAAAGTCCATTCTGTTTTTAAGGATGAAATATGTATACGAGTTTTAAAAAGTTATATTTAATTAGCAATATATTATATGAAGTCTCATGTTCTTCAAATTTTTTAAACTTATATTCCTATAGTTTAAATTACTTGAATGTAGGAATTATTTTGTATTTCATATCTCAGATGATATTTCAACAATTACTTACACATATTTGGTTTTTAGGTGACATGATTGTTTATGTATAGTATTGAAATCCTTCATAGATTTTGCCAACAACCTACTTTTTAACATAATGTATGTTTTGAGTAAGGATGGCATATCATTGGTTCTCAAGTATTAATATGGATTAGAAATCATCTGGAAGGTTTATTAAAACACAGATTACAGGACAAGTCCAATAGATCTGCAGGGGGCCTGAGAATTTGCCTTGTTTACAGGTTCCCAGGTGATACTAATGCTGATCGTCCAGGGACCACACTTTGAAAGGACCCATATAAATACAAATCAAGTTTTTTGTAAAAATTCTGAGAATTACTTCCAAATTATAAGTAACTTATAAAAACAATTATCCACCAACATCCAAGTTATAACATACTCTTTTTTTCATTAATTACTAATGCAAAACAGTTTTATTTATACTATTAACTTTTCAAGTAATTAACAAACTTAAAATTCATAAGTATGCTGGCTGCCAAAGAATCTCCCTGTACTTAATTTCATTTTGCCATTAAAAAATAATTTATGTGAAATAAAATGATATAAAAACCGCAGGCGAAATTTTCTAACCATACACACATGGACATGCATATGCCATTGTAATATTTTAAGGCAAGATCATTGTGTTATGAAAAGACCTAAATACTCTGCCACCTAAGATATTTCAAACTAAGTATCAGAACGCAGATGAGTGAACAAATTGCCAGTGATTAGATGACAGGTAGACTTTTATTACAGCTTTTGGTTACAAATATTTTCTACTTTATTAAAACCTAGTTTCTTATCAATGTGAATATGTCAATATCTCAACATATTTATACTACTTATGGATGAACTCCAAATACATTCTTGATTTTCTAATTTTGGACTGTTCAAATGTTATGTGCTTAATTTTGTGGGGAAAAGAACTGCAGAATCGACTGACCAATGGCAAAAAAAAAAAAAAGAAAAATCCCGAAAGTGGAAAACACATTTCTATAGGCTTGGATGCCTTAACATTTTCACATAAATATTGGAATAAGTACATTCAATAAATTGGTTCCTTAGTTTATATCACTTTATATTACCTGTATAACTTGTATTCTATCTGATTTTCTCCTTGCATATGCATAATATATTTGATGTATCTTATAAATCAGAAACCTAAGTCTTTATTTTTACATGGCTAAGAATTATACAAACTTTCTATTAGACTCAGTTGAGATTTCTAATTATAAGTAGCTTATTTTTAACTTTTGGCATTTTCAAGTGGCTCTGAAATTAACATCCTAGCACGAGCAGCAGGACACAATCAAGAGTGCAATCAGGGCCACGAGGCAGGTGTCGGCCACGCCACCTTGGCAATCAGTCTTTTTGGCTCATATAATCTCAAAATTGCTGTCACATCCACCCTGTGCTTCTTTCTTCCATTGACCTATATGTCTGACCTCTCCTGAAGATTTATACTCAAGAAACTATTATTGTTGTTTTCTATAACTCGCATACTTACAATCAGGAGGCATCTTTTCCATAAATATCGTGTAATATTCTTTTAGAAGTTCAAAATTTTCCTGGTTAATACTTTCTTGCAAAGAGACATCTCCAAATCTAAAAATGGAAAAAAGAAAATAGTTATGGGCTATAAAACAGCACTTGAAAGTAACACTTTTTATCTTCCTTTTTAGGTAGAGGCAACAGTTTCCCAAGGAAGGAGTCGCTCTTTTTTTAAGCGACATTGCACAATGCTGATTTCAAACGTCTTCCAGTCTCCACTGGCCCTGATCCCATCAGTCTCTTTTGACACAGCAAAATATTCTCACAATCATCAAATGTGAACCTGAAATGAAACACCAAATCTAAATCACCTGCCCCTGCGCCTATGCATAATTGATATGCTGTTAATGTTAGGTTCCTCACCTCAGCAGGGCTGTATCTCTGAAGATATAAAAATCCCTCACTCTCTCTTTTTATCCCTCCAATCTTCCTCTTCACCCGTGACAGGTTGAGGAGAGGTCCAGAAGACCAGGACTGGATGCTGGGTTGCATACAATCTTGTACACATCATCAATGCTGAAGGCACATGTAGTTCTTCAATCCCCCAGAGTAGTTCACTCCTGCGGACATTTTTTTCTGTCCACACCCTGGAGGCCGACAGCCTCTCTGCTGGGGTTCTTCTGCCTCTTTTTCAAGACAAAACTTTCTACCCATATATCACTGCCCTTGTGTTTTCTTTAAGCATTTCTCAGGTTTAAATAAAGTCCCTTTCTTTCTCTATAAAAGGATGCTATGTAAATGGCTTCTGATATATGTCTCCACCCAAATATCTCCAATCAAATCTGTATTTCTAGATGTCAATTGAAATTTCAGTGTGAATCATCCCACCCCACTTCAAATGCAACGTAACCAAAAACTGAAACCACGTCCTCCTTTTGTTTAGAAATAGACATGTTCCCAGTATTCTGCCATCAACTCAGGTTCAAAATCTAGGCATCCTTTTGGATTTCCTTTCTTTTCTCCACCCCACCCACTATTCATTGATCTTTTCACATCTCTGGTAGCCTTTCCTTCTTTTTCTTTACCACTGTCATTATATATTAGGTATTTAATTGTATCCTAACTGACTGGATACAAAGCCTCCCAAATACCCAAAGCCTCCCAAATACCCAAAGCATCTCAAATACCCAAAGCCTCCCAAATACCTAAGTGTGATGCCTCCAGGTTCCTTCTGTTTCAATCTATCCTTTACATCATGGGCAGATCATTCATTCATTCAACACATATTTATTTAACATCAACTATGTGCCAGGCACTGCATGTGCAATAAATGAAATGTTGGAGAAGTTAATCTAACACCCGTTTCATCATATCAGCTCACTAAACTTCACTGAATCTCCTCTCCCTGTAAGGACAAAGTCCAGTCTCCTGTTTAGCATCTAACTTCTACACAAAGGTTTCCAAAATCCCTGTGGGACTGTAGTTACACTCTTCTCCCTTACTATCAGTATTTCGATGCCTTTGGGACTTTTCACACGCTATTCCTCCTCTGACAAGAATGTCTTACCTTCCTTGTTGGCTTGATTAATTCCTATTCATCCTTCAAAGGATGGAAGCCTTGTGGAATGCTACTCATCTCCTCTATGAGACCTCTCTGATGAGATCTTCTGCCATCTGTGAATCACCTTCTTTCCTCCCCTATTCCTGTCCATTCCACATCTTTGTTTATCGCATGAGTCAAACTGAAATGTAGTATTTGTTGACCTGTCTTCCTTACTGGATGGTAAGTTCTTTCAGGACAGAGATTATATCCATTCATCTATTCTTCTTGCTATGTCCCATGCTCCCTGTGTCCCTCAGCTTGGCAGAGTAGTGCTTGGTACAGAGTCAATGTTCAATATCCATCTGAATTAAACTTGAAGGACAGGAATGTACACCCAGGAAAATCTACAGGAGAGTTTCCCTAAACTCTGAAACATACTCTTCTAACTTTTTCAGACATCATAATTAAGTGGTATTTTAAAAATGTCATCCTTGTTGGGGTAATATTAGTGTTATGGACTGAATATTTTTGTCCCCTCAGAAATCATATGTTCAATCCCTAACCCCCAATCTGGCTGTGTCTGCAGATGGAGCCACTAAAAAAGTAATTAAGATTAAACGAGGTCATGAGGGTGGGGCCCTGGTCCAATAGGATTAGTGTCCTTGTAAAAAGAGACACCAGACAGCTCATTCTCTTTCTCTCTGCACACACAAATAGTTCATGTGAGCACACAGCAAGAAAGCAGAAGAGAGTTCTCGCCAGAAACCAAATTGGCTAGAACCTTGATCTTGGACTTGGATCTAGAACCTTGATCACAGGCTCTGGAACTGTGATAAATAAATTTCTGTTTAAGCCGCCCAGTCTGTGGTATTTGGTTACCGTAGCCCAAGCAGACTAATTAGTACTTACTTATTTAAGAATGGACATATATATAACATAGGTTTTGGCTATGGGTAAATAGGTAGTAAAATATTACCCCTGAATTACATAACATACCTAACATGCATCTGTTGCCTGGTAAAGCTCAAAATTCAGAATCAGAAAAATGAGGCCAGAGAACAGAGAGGAAGTGATTTGCTCAAATCAGTAGCTGGTTGATATCAGAGTGTGTCCTGCTTCTCTTGTGGTTTTCTCTACTTTGCCATTTTATCTCCTTTTCAAGTCTCATGTGTCTTACATAGCTTCCAGGTACGAAAAAATGCATTTTTTAATATGCAAGAGAGATGAGAGAGAAGGGAAGGAAAGGGGCACTTTTTAAACAAAGTGACTAATAAGTAAAATAGTCACAATGACATGAATGATGCAAATTAACCTAATCTAGAAGGCTTGAAAATACAATGCTCACTATTCCTTGAAAAATTTGTACATGGAAAGTCTCACATCTCTCTCAAGGCCACCCTCACAGGCCTTAACTTATCAATTCAAACCCAAAACACTGTACTCTAGTGTACCAAAGAAGACATAATTACTTTAGAGTGCTGATTCTTTTTTCCCCAAATTGTATAATTTATGTTCATAAATATCATTCACCTCAAAGATCAAACTTGCTGTGAGACAAATATATATAGATGACTGGAATATAATCTGATCTTAGATATTGATTTGCAAAAGTGTTTAATTATTGTACAACACAGTCAATAAAATTATAGTCTGATTTATGCATACTATAAGAAAAGAGATTAATAGCTTCCACACAGTTTGAAATTAAACATACAATACAAAGCTTTCATCTAATTTTTTAACTGGCAAGAGAGAATTATGAAAAATTATATTGTCCAGGAAGTATCTTTTGGATAAGAGAAAGAGAACGAGAAATAGTTGGAAAATAGTAGATAAAAACAGGCACCTTGATCACCTTTGAAATTCAAGAGGACTATATATGTAGCAGTATTTTTAGTTTAGTAAGTGATATTAGTAAAGGCCTAAAACATACTACCAAGTTGTGGCAGAGAATACCCTAGGCAGTTTTAAACTGTTATCTATGGAGGAAGGAGATATTTGGAGAGGGAATTATAGATAAAGAAACATTTTAAATACTGAAGACTATCCAACTCTCCAAAAGTTTTGCCTATGGGGAAACTTCTCCAGCCAGGCCTTACAGCAAGAGGGCAACTCTTTTCTGTAAAATTTTTCAAAAATGCATTCCAGGAACCCCAACTCACATCCAGGTTTTCCATCATCTCTAAATCACATAAGTATGTGATTTACAAAAGTAAATCACATAAGATGCAAAAGTAAGTCCTCTGTTCAAAAAAGTGTTTTTGACAGTGACTCATAGGATCCCATACAGTCATTTGTTGCTTGATTGAGCAAGTAATTATGAAAAAATGTGTTAACACCCCTCAATAACTATTTTAGTAATGAAAACAAAAGGGAATAATAGACTGTTTTAGGTCCAGAAATTTTTGACACAATTAGCTGAGTTTACAATGTTAAAATACATATGAACATAAAAAATTCTAAAATTTGGTATATACGTAAGTGTTTGGAAACATGAAGAAAGTTAATCCATGTGAATATTTTGGTATTGGTATCAATATTTTTCCCATTGTCTTGCCTCATTTAAATTTGACGTGAGCCAGGAATCCTTAAATATGAATATTTCTCCTTGCTATATCAAATAATTTGGTACTGATAAAAAGGAAAATGTTCCTCATGAATCTAAGTTCTATGTGCAAGAATGCGTGGAACTGCTCAGCATATCCAGAACATTTAAAAAGAAAAACTGAAGTACCCGTATTATACCCGAAGCTTACCTGTCAGCAAGAGTTTGCTGTTCATTGATTCCAACATTAAAAAGTACAGGATACACATGAAGCAATTGTCCTTCTCTAATCTGGAGAGGCAGAGACTCAAACATTCCCGCTGGAAGCTTGACCTCCACCACATAATGTTCACTGAAGGAATCAGAGGACAAAGAGAAGCAGCGTTGTTCATGTCATTCGTTTTTAGGTTATTTTAGATTCATTGGAAAGAAGCAATGAAACAGTTGGAATATAGCACTGATTTAGGTTTTTGGCTGCTATCTGCTTATTTTCTGGTATTAATTTATTCAGTTATAATTTCATTCACTTCACTATTAAATTACTTGGCATAAAGAATTGTTTACATGTTTGATTTCTCTCCATTACTTTGAGCTCCTTTAGGAAAGGATGAATGTTTAGCTCATTTTTGCATACCGGGGCCCTGTACATAGAGAGCTTCAATATTTGTTTGCTCGATTTAGTTATTTTTAACACCCAACCAGGCTCAAGAATAAGAAGAGTAATTTAATGATGAACTTTTCAATATAGTGAAACTAATAAACCAAATCACTTATAACATTTTTTAGCATGGCCTGATTGTTGTTATTCTTGATGAACCTCCCTGTTGGTGATGGCTTGATGGAAGTGTAATGGTTTCATTATTTAAGGTGTAACCTGTGGGGGTTCCTGATCATTTTGCAACATTAGCATATCACAGGAGCATTTTTTCATTGGAAATTTCCACTAAAAATTGCCCCTAATGTTTAGTATTAAAAATTTAAATTAGAATTCATAAAATATAGTCAGCAAGAATAGTTGCTTATATATTTTGAAACTTGACATCTTCTGATGCACTGTGAATTGAGTATAGCAATGTAGACAGTTTTGCCCAGAATTCTGGAAAATCCATGTGTTTCTAGAACTATATAGAGTGCTGAGGTTGTAACACAGGTATTGGGGAAAAAAGCACAGAACAATTAGTGAGTCTCTGTGAAAATCTTTTTAGTTTCTCCTAGTATAACAATACTGAAACATACTCTGGATCATTGACTCTGAGACTTGTTTCTTTTTCTGTTTTTTTGCTGAGGAAGATTCACCCTGAGCTAACATCTGTTGCCAATTTTCTTCTTTTTTTATTTGAGCTGCTCCCACAGCTTGGCCACTGACATATGAGTGGTGTGGGTCTGCACCCTGGAACTGAACCCAGGCCCCTGAAGCAGAGCACACTGAACTTAACCACAAGGCTACCAGGGCTAGCCCCTGAGACTTGTTTCTTATTCAAGCTTTGAACTAGAGAACTGGGAGATACCATCAATCCAGCAAACAGGGACATCAGCACTACCCTCAGATGGATGGACATGTTATTTTTCTTTTTTAAATTGCTCTCAGTGCCCTTTACAATAGCCTGGCTAACAGAAGGCTGATGTTTATTTATTTCAAGTCTTTCAGGAATATGAGAAGAATCAGCGAGTGGGTCCATGTTTAAAGGTTGCTCTGAAGGTAAAACATTATATAATTTCTTTATGGTAACTTTTTGTTAGCTCTATTAAAATATAATTGACATAAACTTATGCATTTTAAGTGCACAATTTAATGTTTTAGCAAATGTCTAGAGTTGTGCAATCATGACCATAATCCAGTTTCAGAACATTTCCATCATCTTAAAAAAAAAATCCCTTGTGCCTGTTTGCATTCAAACCCCAATCCCATTGTCAGCTCCAAGAAACCAATGATCTATTTTGTCTCTACAGATTTTACTTTTTTACATTTTTCATATAAATGCAATCATACAATATGTAGTCTTTTGTGTCTAGCTTTTTTCACCTAGCATAATGACTTTGAAGTCATCTATGTTGTAGCATATTTCAGTAGTTTGCTCCTTTTTATTGCAGAATAGCATTCTATTGTATAGATATACCACATTTTGTCTACGCATTCACAAGTTGATGGATACTTGGATGACTTCATGATTTTGGCTATTATGAATAATGCTGCTACGAACATCCATGCATTAGTTTTTGTGCGGACATATGGTTTCATTTTCTCTTAAGTATATACCTAAGAGTGATATAGTAATTTTAGGTTTAACTTTTTAAGAAATTGTCAACCTTTTTAAATAGTGGTAGTATCATTTTACATCCCCACCAGCAATGCATGAGGGTTCCAGGTTTTCCACATCCTTGCAAACACTTGTTATTGTCTGTCTTTTTGACTATGATGATTCTACTGTGAGTAAAGTGGTATCTAATTATGGTTTTAGTTTGCATTCTCCCAATGACTAATAATGTTAAGTATGTTTTCATGTGCATATAAGCCACTCATATATCTTATTTGGTGAAATATCTATTCAAATTTTTTGTCCATTTTTAAATTTACGAGTTGTAAGATTTCTTTATACATTCTGAATACAAATCCGTTATCAGATACACGATTTACATATATTTTATCCCAATCTGTGGCTTATCTTTTCATTTACTTATTGGTATTTTTCATGCTTAAACTGTATAATTTTGATGAAATCCTATTTATCAAATTGTTTGTTTTATGAACCTAGATTTTTGGTCATATCTAAGAACTCTTTACCTAACCTAACAACAAATATTTTCTCCTAGAAGTTTCATAGTTTTAGCTCTTACATCTAGACCTCTGATCCATTGTGAGTTAATTTTTGTGTTTGGTGTAAATTGAGGTTCTAAATTCTTCTTTTTGCATAAGGATAAACAACTGTCACAGCAACATTTTTTGCAAAGACTTTTCATTTTCCATTGAATTGCTTTGGCACCTTTGTCAAAAATCAATTGACCCTAAATGTAATAGCTTATATCTGGACTCGAAATTCTGTTCCATTGATCTATATGTATATACTTATGCTGGTACTATACGGTCTAATTTATCACAGTTTTTTTTTTTTTTTTTTTAAGATCAGCCCTGAGCTAACATTCATGCTAATCCTACTCTTTTTGCTGAGGAAGAACGACTCTGAGCTAACATCTATTGCCAATCCTCCTCCTTTTTTTCCCCAAAGCCCCAGCCCCAGTAGATAGTTGTATGTCGTAGTTGCACATCCTTTTAGTTGCTGTATGTGGGACACAGCCTCAGCATGGCCAGAGAATCGGTGCGTCGGTGCGCGCCCAGGATCCGAACCCCGGGCCGCCAGTAGCGGAGCACACGCACTTAACCGCTAAGCCACAGGGCCGGCCCTATCACAGTTTTATAGTAAGCTGTGAAATCAGAAAATATAAATCCTCCAACTTTGTTGTTCTTTTATAAAATTGTTTTCATTATTCTGGTCCTGTGCATTTCCATATAAATTTTAGGTGTACCTCATCGATTTCTCCAAAAAAAAGACTACTGGGATTTAGACAGCTAGCGATTGCACTGAATCTATAGATCAATTTGTGGAGAACTGCCATCTAAACAATATTGAGTATTCCACTCTGGGAACATGGACTGTCTTTCCATTTATTGGATTTTATTAATTTCTCTAAGCAATATTTTGTGTGTTCTGTGGACAATTCTTAGAGTACTTTGTTAAATTCAGTCTGACGTAATTATTCTTTTGGATGCTATTGTGAATGGAATTGTTACCTAAATCACCACTGATTCTGACAATTTTTCAGGAGTGTGCTTTTTTCTGCTCTCTGATCCAAATCAAGTTAGAACTCTTTGGTAGCGAAACTACTGGTTTTCGTGGCCTGCCTTGCCCTAGTAAAACTGTGCTGACAGAGCTGGGGTTGATGAGAGCAACCCTTGGCAAAAATGCCACAGACTCCAACTGTCTTATCCAATGTTCACTAGTTTTTCATGAATAAGCACTTCTAAATTTGTTGCATGCATTTGATTTATCCCCTTAGTCCTAAAATGGTTCTTTTAGACAATTCTGTCCAATTGTAATATTGCTTTTTGGAGAGAGGATTTGTCAAACTGCTCATGTCGTTGTTCTAAGAAGTCCCATTCCCATCTGTAGGATAACTTTTGAATTCAGATACAGCCTGAAGAATTCACTCAGAAAAACCATCCTGTACTCTGCCTATGCCAAATGGCCTGGTAAGCTTCCCTTATAAATTGTGATGAAAGTATCAGTTTCTCACTTTTGATAATAATCTTCATGGTAATATAGAGTGGGACTCTTTTCCAAGTGTGTATATGAGCAATTTTATTCCTCTTTCTCCCAATGAATGGCAAATTAAGCATTAGTTTGCAGATGAAATAATTAGTTTTATGAGGATACGGTTTTTCTTTACGTATAAGAAACAACCACCTTTCATTCAACCATGTACCTCTGAGTATCACACAGAATTTAAAATAACTCACACAAAATTTAACATAATTAACATATGGTTACTATAGACAAGAAAACAAGTTTAGTTTGAATTTTTATACTTAATCTCTTCTCCATCTCTCTCTAGCAAGAAAAGGGCTCTCTCTTTAGTACATTCATATTTTTTCATTGTGATCCAAGAATGTTTCAAATTTCAAATAAATACATGCAACATTTAAAAGTGCTAACATGAGAATAATTAAAATTGGGAGGGCTTCTGATTGAAACAATTTACCATAGGACATAATTCTTCTGTTGGAGGTCTATTCTATACACCACCATTTTTCTTAATTATTTCTGCTATTTTGCCCATCATACACTGACCTTCAAAGCTATTTACTTAAAATCATTCTCGGAAATCTCAGTCTGGGAGTGAATTATCAAAAATAATTAAGAAAAATGGTGGTTAGGCCCCTGACATAGGAATATATCTTTCCTAAAATGTTGCTGCTTTTAACAAAATTTAATATAAAGTCATCTCAAGGATTATAGTGCTATTAACCAAATGATTCCAGCAAAAGTAAAAACATCCAGAACTTTAGAATAGATAGTAATAAGGAGAAAAATTTTCTTCTCATGTCTGCTATTATTTTGAATTCTTCATATGTCATGGGGCAGCATTACCGTACTCGCCTCACTACATAACATTTACAAACATTCATGGGCCTTCCAGGAGTTTTTCCAGATCTTCCCCTGTCCTGTCCCCTACATTTATTTCTAACCAAAAAAGAAAAGAGAACAAAAGAAAAATTTCCAAAGCAAACCTTAATTCTCCTTGGCTCCCTTATCAGGAGTTGATACAAATATCTAATGAAGTTCAGTCTTTAGGAAATGGGCACCACTTACCGCCTTCCTGTAATAACTGGCAAGACATCACCGGATTTGGCTTCAATTATTTTAAATGTGACTTTCTTCAAATCTGAAATGCCAACAGCCATGTCCTCTAGCATTCCGATTTCATCACCTAAACAAGGGAAAAGGAGCCTAGTGACACACATCCTATTTGAAGAAAATGTCACTTGGTACTACAGCTCCCTGCCGGAATTTGTTCTAGCATTTCAGTGAATGAGTTTCTGAAAGCAGTGAATCTATTCTAAGTGCTTTGGCTCAGAAGCCGAAGGTTTTCATCAGTGAAATAAGAACCATTTCAATGGACTCCAGCAGTCTATGTATCCTTTGAGAAAAGGAAGAATGTATATATTTGCTGGGAGGCTAGAGAGAAGTTTTAACTCCTTTATGAAACAAAGTATCGTGCAGATTTCTTTCCTTTGGCAGGACTGATATTTCATTTCTAGAAATAAAAGAGATGGCTGAATCAAAGATCACTGACCCAGGCTTATACTAGTTTTATATCTCAATACACTGACAAATAAAGCCTGAGAAGGAGGTAATTAAGTAAGATTCTAGATCACCACCATCCAACAGAAATACAATGTGAGCCGCATATAAAATTTTAAATTTCCTGGTAGTTATATTTTTAAGAGTAAAGTAAAAATGGTGAAATGAATTTTAATAGTATATTTTTCTTTAACCCAATATATCCAAAATATCATTTCAGCTATAAATCAATATAAAATTATTAATTATTAAAATAAAACTCTATTTTTACTTGAAATCCAGTGTGCACATAGTACATATTGATTTGGACCAGACACATTTCAAGTGCTTAATAGCCACATCAGGCTATGTATTGAGCAGTGCTGTTCTAGACATTAAAGGGTTGGGACTTTAAAAATTCAGTCATTGAAACTATGTTGGCAAAGAGCCGTCTATATTAAAAAAGCCAGATGGCTTCTCAGGACTCCACTAAGAAATAATCTACAATTCCATTTTCAAAACATAATGGGGGTAAAAGTATAGTTACAAGGTGAATGAATACAAAGAACTAAAAGTTACATTATTTGTGTAATGCTTGATGTAGTAAAGGTTTACTTCTCATTTTTATGTTTAACTGAAGAATCTTTGGATCACATGTCCTTACAAATAGAAATATGACTTTAACATGTACTAAAGCAATACTCACTGTATGTACTTAGCAATCCTTCATATTGCACTATCAATCCCACCGTGTGAAGCTGCTGTAGAAAGCCAGGGTCATGCAAACTTGTGTGTAATTTGATGATAAAACCACAAACCAATCCAGCAAGCTAAAAAAAAAAAAATTATTGAAGAAATTTACCAGGGTCAGCAAAATCTAATTGAAAATATTTAAGACTTTTGAGGCATCACAGACGTAATTAAAAAATTTCAAGCATGTGTAACAAAACTATAACTATTTATATATCCATTTTGAAACCAGCTGACAGTCTTTGATCTAGTGAGGCTTCGGGAAGGCAGCATCGTGAAAGGGGAAAGAGCATGGACTCTGGAGTCAGGTTGATATGTCTGCAAATCCTGTCTCTACCATTTCTAACAGTGAAACCATATAAAGTTATTCAATGCTTCTGATATTATTATTATTATTTTTGCACATGTAGAATAGAGATATTAGTACTCATTTCCTAGAGGCACAATAAAGAAACATGTCTAAGGCAGAGCATAATGCCTGACACATAGTTAGCTCCATTTGCCACCAGTGGAGCACAGGGACAGTTTAGTTAAAATATTCCGTTTGCCTGGAATGTTTAGAAAGAAAAGCTTCTGTCTCTTTCCCTCCACGTGTCTGTCATATAAAACTCAGTCATGGGAGTGGAGGCAGGAGGGAAGAAGGAAGGCCCCCAGCACAGCTGCTATGATGGAGGCCGGCCTTCCTGTCATGGGATAGGGTTGGGTGTAGGTAAAAGAGGTGGTCCTGTCACACCTCCCATTCAAGCCTTACTGCCCAGCAAACCTGTTTTATAAACAAAAGAAGAGATCACTGTGAGGCTCTGTCCTGGGATTCCTGGGGGAGCTGTATAAACAGCGGGTTGCAAACAAACCCCTTTTACCAGTCCTAGCTGGCTACCTGCAATGCAAGGCAGCCTCACCTGTCCTCCCACTGTGTACTGTGCGGAGACCCCAGGGCATAATATGATGACAGGATGGGTGACCCTTTCCTTCACAGACTCTCTGCCCTGTGAAACAGAATGTACATTTCAGAGACTCGGCCACCTCTTTGCAGAAATAAATACTTAAGGTCTCATAAACTGTTTCCATTCAGCTCATATTTATTACGAATAAGAAAAACTGGGTACCAAAACTTTAAGAAAAGGATTCCTTTAAAAATAAAACTACCAAAAGAAGACCTCTATCCTCACCAAGGATAGTATTTAACTACCCAGCACGGTGCTGTGCTCACAACAGCAAGAGGCACCTACCGCTTGGCTGAAGACAATGTCTCTTCTCAGAGTCAGCATCAAACACTGGGGTGAGCTGTACGCAAGTTCCTGAAGGAGCACGAATGTCAGGGACTGCTTGGCTCGGTTCACCACTTCTCCCATGCAGTCCTTCAGGGTAAGGATGAGGGGATACAACTGTTCATACCAGTCCTCTGGGGGAGGAAGGGGTGTAAGAACAGTGGGATAGGTGAAGGAAAGTCTTGGAGGATAGAACCAACTTATTTATTTTTTTCAGTGAAGTTTTATGTATTATTAAGGATTCACAAAGATTAGATTTAAAGATCTCCAATTCAGATCTCTCCTCTGAACCCCAGATGTCTGTAACCAGCCACCCACTGGATCTCTCCACTTGGGTATACTTCACACAATTACAGTAGAACTCTTCTCCTCTCTGCTCATCTTTAATCTGTGCACTGCCTGTATCTTAGTGGATGGTACCACTAAACTCTTCCCATGCTGGAAACAGAAGTTTTCCTGGACATCTTCTGTAGTCTTACCATTGACTGGGTCATTAAACTAGTTCTACCACTGATATAACCCATCAAACATTCATCTTCCCCTTGACCTCTCCCATCATCATTTATTGTTCTCCTTTGGATCACTCTGTATCCCACTCCCTAGCTGATACCCCTTCCCCCTGTCGTACACGATTCGAATCCTTTCTCAACAGTGTGGCTACAGGGAGCTTTCTAATCAGGTTGAATCCCACCCCATCACTCATTCTCTCACTTTCTTACTTAAAATATTTTTAAAACTCTAAAGCATTCAGAATAACGTCTAAACGCATAAAAGATCCTCCGTTATCTGACCTTGGCCTACCTGTCCAGTCTTATCTCTCAGAACTTCTTCCCTTGCAGTCTTGAGTCCCAGGTGAACTGAACAACACGTATTTCCCAAAGCCTGTCTTGATCTCTCATCTCAGTGTCTTTGCAAATCCTATCACCAATCCTGGAGCACCCTTTCTCTCCTTATCTTCATGACAAACACTTTATCTTCTCTGCAGACTCAGTTCAGAATTTTTCCCTTCCAGAAAGTCATCTTGATTTCCCTCCTACTCCCTTCCTGTTTACTAAAGTTTGGGTTGAGTTCACTTCCTTTTGTGCCCACAGCTCCTTGCCTTTAGTGTTCTAGAACTATCCACACACTGTTTGCTCTGCAAGAAAGGGACCTCACTGAGGGCAAGGAATTTATGTTTTAATCACTGAGTCTCCAGAACCTAGCATAGTTCAGATATATAGCAGATATTCAATCAGCTTTAATTCAATGAGTAAAGTTACAATAAACACAACAAAAGTATTTTAAGGTACTATAGACAAATATGGGAAAACCAAGTTTTTGACAATATTTGGAATTCAAATAGATTTTCTTCAAATAAGGATACAAAATTGAAACCATCTGCGCTTTTTGTATGTCGAGATTTCTAACATGTTTCAATTATATAATTACGACTTTGGCATATGATATAGAAACAAGTTATATTCTATCTCAGTATATTTGGAAATCAAAGCCCTGACAAATGTTAAATATTATAAATTCCCAACTGTGTGACATTCTATTAATATATAAATAAATTAACAGTACTATGACAAATACAATTTAATAGAAATAAGTGCATGCTGAAAAATTAATTATGAATCAGGATCTAGAATGATACAATCTTCTCAGCACCAAAGTGTAAGCTTCATCGTCAGTGATGTGAGTGGTCAATACCCAGTTAAGATCTTGGAAGATTTACAGAAAACAATAGAAAGAATCATAATCACTACTGTATCATATTTTCTGTCACTTATTTATTTTATGTTATGGTGTAATAGACTAGATGAAATAAACCAAAATGGTTGAAAGGGTAATTAAGGACCCTAACTTAATAAAAAGATGCACTCATTAATAATCTGTGTAAGTACTTACGTGATGCTATAATGCAAAATACATTAGGAACATTAGGAGTTGTTAGTTAAAAATATTGTAGAATTAAGTGTTATGATAGGAATAAAAAACACTAGAGAAAGGGGAATTCAATGAAGGCCTATTAAATCTGTAATCATTTAATAAAGGACTCACTTGTGGGCAGCCTAGGACGAAATATGAACAATGGTACAATTTAAACAAGCATTGGCTAACTATCGATTTTTATGTCATTAGTAGGTGTCAAAGGGCAAATAGAGGTATATCAGACTTATTTTCAAAATAAAAGACACATCAATAGACACCAAGAAAGAATATTCTATATTCCTATTTTTTTTTCATATTTACATTCTCTTATCTCTTATTCTTTCCCACTCTCTTATTTAATTATTTATTGTTCTCAAAATGAATGTGTAGACTGATACTTACACACACTAGGAAAACAAATATTTCAATAAATTGACCCGGATGTAGCTCTTAAAAGATAACAGACTGCAAACTGATTTTGTTTTGTGCTTAGGTCTGCAGAGATCAGTTTCCACACAAGAATTCTCAAACATGAAATAAAGCTTGTGTACAGTAGGCGGCGCTGCTTCATCAGGCTGAAGCAGATCTACTTTGTCACTTATTCAAGTTACTGATTTATACTTTTTTATACATTTGCATAGTTCCCAAATGTATATATATTTGTTTAAGCACCCTGTATCATACTGTCCTGTGTCAAGTGGTCAATAACTTGGTCAAGAGTGTGATTTTCTCTTTCTAGTTAGAAAATGGAACATTACCTTAAGTGTACACTTTTTTCCCTTTAAAGATACTAAGTGACAGCTCAAATTTAAACATAGCTGCTGGTTTTTTCTAAAGGTCTTTAAAAGAGGAAACTTTGTAGATTCCTTCATTAGCATCACAATGATTTTTTCACTCACTTCTAAACCTATCCTCACACTTATTCAACCAGTTTATTCTTAATCATAAATTGCAATCAGATGATCAAAAAAAAAAAGAAAATAGTCTGAATTCTAGTCCTACTAGAATAAAACTGAAAACCTGGGGGGAAAAAAAGACACTGATATTCTAAACCTAGGAGTATTGTTAGATACTTGTCTGATACTAACAATATTCCAGTGTCTCCATTTACTACCCTATACACACTTTTTATGGCTAAAATTTAAGGAAAATGACAATATAAAAAACATTAATTATGAATGAGAAAAATACCAGTTTGTGAGCCAAGGAGAATCTCTTAAAGATAGCAGCAAGTTTACTACAGAAAAGCATACGTGAGAAAACTAAAATTACATTTTTTCTAGAAAAGAAACAATTTAAGTTCGGCAGATAAAGGAAATCTGCACTGGCAAATGCAAACTGCCGTGACTACAGGTTTTGTTCCCTGTTAATATTCACTCCGTGTAAATCGCAGGTTCTGAAATAAACACAATGGGGTATGACAGGCCACACAAAGGCCAAAATCAGTTCATAAATGGGCTTTTTGCTCCAATGAGCATTCCAAATCATTCTCACAAAAGAACAGCAAATGCTTTCGTTTTCTCTTTAAAAATATTTTTTGGGGAAAAAAAAAACCCTGCAGCTGTTGACAGTCTTGAGACCACTGTCACCTCCCCCTCACCTGGGTGTCTCTCTGTACTTCACAATTTACATGGTGTTTATTTTCTCCTCCGGATAAAGCCATTTTCTGGTAGGGATGAGGATGTTCTTTCTGCACTATCTAGTCAACGAAAGACATCCTGAAATGCACACATCCACTCTTCTGAGCTCAGGTTCTTTAAGTTTCAACTAAGATTTTATATAAACGTGCGCGCGCACACACACACTCATGATACACCCAGTGAAGCCGGGTAGCTGAGGGCTCGCCACAATGTTGTCACTGCCCCAACACCTCGCCAGGAGCTAACTGGCCCAGCAGGCACTTAAGTGCCCACATCCACATCGTGGATTCTATCCCCCGGGCTGTTTTCAGAGTCAGAGGAAAATATGAAGAGAATGTTTTAGTGTCTCTATAAAAACTTGCTGCAACTCCTTAGCCCTGAGACCAACAAGCAGAGTCTTTCCTCAGGAAAACATAAAATGCGTGCGGCTTAGCTGAGCTTTTCCTGAGCTTTGTGAAGTGTGTTGGAAGCCATCCAAGCACAGCCTGTTTTCCAGCCCTTCACTCGCTTCTACAACATATTCAAGTGACGCTCGCGGAAGGATTCAAAGAACGCGCCCGCCAGGGCCCCCTCACCTCCTCCACACGCCATCTATTTCCTGTACAGGATGTTCACGTCCTCTGAGCTCAATGGCCCTTACGTTCCTCGGAAGAAAAATAAAAGGGCCAAATAGCAACCACCTGTGGCAGAGCCTGATGCTTTCTTTCCCATTTCTGAGCCGTTTTCTTCTCAGGTGCTTGGGCCTTTTGCTCATTTAATATAATTAACTTCACGCAAGCCTGTAGTCATTGTTATTTTTTGTTATCACAACTTTTCAGACATAAGAAAAAAAGAAAAGCTAAAAGATTTGCATGCCCATTAAACTCTATGCAAAGAGATAAGAGAAGAAATGAGCCCAGCTCTTAGGATTCCCCTAAGTTGAGATGAAGAACTGTGAAGCCCAGCAATTAGAATGGCCTTTAAGGAAGGTGATAAAATTCCCAAGGTTTTGAGAAGAACAGAGACCAAGCCCACAGCCAACAGGGTCTTTTATCCTATGCCCAAACTTCAGGGAGCACAGAACCGGCAATGGGTTCGTGGTTGCGGGTGGCACGTGGGGGATTTTGGTATCCCTGCTCAGAGTCCGTGCTGCTTTTGAAGGGCCTGTGTCCTACATCAACCCAGATATGCTACCTAAGTGCCCTCTGAGTAAAGGCCTGGTCTTTCGGGCACAATTTTACAATGAGAACTTGGAGAGGTCAATTAATGATAAGGCTTCTTCTCCAGATACTTTATAGACAAACTTCTTTGTATGAGTAGAATACACATGGCCAACTTTGGTCATAGACCCTAGACTCCTGCTCACAGGAGCCTCCAAATATCTGGACATAAACCAGGGATGTGGGGCACAGAAACTAGGCTCATCGGACAAGAGATGAGTAATCAGGAAAAGAAAAGCCCCTGCTGAGGCATGGCTGCCTAGAATGTCCTCCCGGGCCACTCAGAATGTCCTGTGAGCCTTCCTAACCCCCTGCCCGTCTTTATTATCCATCTCTTGGCTCTAGTCCAAGAATCAAAAAATCAAACTGTATTTATATTAC